TATATCTATATATATTTCTCTGTTTTTCTTTTATTGATAAGAGTAGTTTAGAGCATTATCCATTACTAGTACTTCATTACCCAAGTCTCCATTTTCCCCTTTTGATTTTTTACTTTTCCATAGTTTTACCCATATAAAGAATTTAGCATTTTCACATTTAATACTTGTATTATACACATAACGTATGTATTTTCAATAATACTTCCATTTTCCATACATGTAATTTAAAGACTTGGTACAATACACGTTTGTAAAAAAGCAAACATACAATACACTTATTGTACACATACGTGCGTATTTTTCATTTTTAATACACGTGGTTTTTACAAAATTTTCAATGATACACACAAAATTTACGTATTATACACATAATTTTCACATATTATTGAATAAAAATAATATATATATACATATTAAAATATTATATAGTGGACGAACTTTTTAGTTGTAACTTGCCAAAGTTTTGCTGAATAAAACACGTACGTATTTTGTTCATAATTTCCCGTTCTGTATTTTACTAACTATGAAAGAAATTGAGATGCTGAGATTATCTCTTACCTGTTGTAAGAAAAATGCAACATGGTGATTTTGCAATCTCTTTGCCAACGAGAACAACAATGTCAAACAAAGTGTTTTGGGTATTTTTCATGTAAAGTGTTGTTTGGAAAGTGAAGCAATTATCAAGACCACTCCAACTTAGTGTGCAATTCTCTATAACAAATCATTAGTGCAGTAACATAATTTAGTATCACTCAAGAGAACGAGGTAGATCAAAGGCAAATATTCCTACACAAAAAAGAAGAAGAAAAAATTGACTCTCAAATTGATTTACTGTGAAAATTCTATCTTTTCAATATCTACTTTGGATATGTTGAAACTTGGAGCCCCAACTCTCTTTTCAATATACTGGGGTCTATTTTTCTTATTTTTTTAATAAATAGTATGGCCGCACAGCTATACGGTTTAAATACATTGTATTTAAAGAGCATAGCCGCGCGGCTGTACTGTGGTGTTCCGTTCAATTTTCTTCATAGTATAGCCGCGCGGCTATACGAGTTAAAAAATAAAAAATGGGCCGCCTACCGGCTAGGCGCTTGGCGGGCTTTTTCTTTAATAAATAATAATAAATAGTATAGCCGGGCGGCTATGCTTTGTAAATATAATCTATTTAAAGCGTATAGCCGGGCGGCTAGACTCGGGATTTTTAAAAATGTTTTAATAAATAGTATAGCCGCGCGGCTGTACGCTTAAGTGTGAGGAAATTCTTGGTGTTAATGCAACTAGATAGGCCTCTATAAGAAACAGAAAATTATCTGAAGACCATCTGCACTGTAAAATGTACATCACAAAACATATACATGACTATTAACGCAAGATCAATGGTCTACCTGCTTTTATTGCCTCCTTAGCGAGTTGCTCATCCATCCCAGAAGAGAAGTCTTTACTTTTTGCTAGTTACTTGGCCATACAAACTCTGTTCAACCTCCTATCTCCAACCGTTTTTGCTTCGAAGAGATATCTTTCACGTGCAGCATATAATATATGCCTAGCCAATCAGTGTTCTGGTTCTGTTTTTGCATTATTTGGTTGAGTTCACAGAAAATGATATATCTCTGATCTGTAAGATTACAAAGCATCTACTTGCATGTAGGGTAATTTTCTGTATTATAAAGTAGGGTTTTTATTTTTGATGCATAATATAGTGGGGTTAACATGAAAGAGTCAGGTGATTGTAAATGACACATGATCTCCATGTGAAAAGCATAGTGCAAAATCTGGAAGACCCCCACATAATTGATTGATTGTGACTTGAAACAATTCAGTATGCAAAGATATACATATGTTGTCTGAAAAATAAGGTAGTGAATGATAGGTAGGGCATGAAGAAACAGGTTATCGCCACCATTAACCTCTGGACCTCAATGAATATGACTGAACAAGAGTAGGCTATCGCTCACAAGCACATTCTTACCAACAGTTCCGAGTTCAAAGTATTCAAGTCCAACAGGAGTGAAGTAAAAGTTGCAATGTACTTTTAACATCTCGATAAATGGATAGAAAAGTTGTCCACGATATAATTTGAGATTCAAAGGGGTCGTTGGAGCATTTCAAAATTTTACAACTTGAATTTACAGTACAAGAGGTGGAGGAGGGTAAAGTAGAACCTTGTTGAGCTTTGTCATCGCTTGGGGCAGTACTTTGTATGCAGGTTATCAAGCTTCTCGGCATACTCAATCGGAGTTGCCTCATTGTCAAACACTTCGTCCCATATCTTAACAAGATCTGTTTGCAAGGTTATTGGGTTAGTATAGGATATGAAACTAATGGAAAATATGAATCATAAACTTACCCTATAAAAATGGGCAGGATGACTAACAAATCAGAAAATATGGAATGATTCAATCAAGACACAGTGCAAGCATTACCAGTCGCTGAGACTGATATACCACATTGATACAGGTATACTCTACTTAAAAAAACATTTGAAATCCAGGAATTCAACTGTAAGCTTTTGAAAATTTCAAGGAATTTAAAACAGAAGCATGCATACCAGCGTTGTTTGAGGATGAAAGAAACATGATGAGTGTGTCAAATCTTGGAACCCTGGTTATGTTCTCCAGATAATTGACGGCCAAATCCATTTCTTCACTGCCAAAGAAATAAATCAAAGGTGGGGCCATAAGCATTTTATCAAGCTCAACAAGAAAACATACATATCAGACATAAACATTACTTACACGAAAAAGGTTGCCACACACTTCACTTGATAATGTCAAGTATGGGAACAGTCAAAGCATTTTTGAATATCTGCGGCAATGCACTTGGAGATATAGCCTGTATAGAAATAACACAAAAAATAACATGAAACAAAGTAACAGCATAAATGGAAAGTCGGAATGAGTGATGATTTCCTAAACAAATACCAACTGCATTCACAATCCTTTATGGACATTTGAAATTGTTCAAAAGGGACACAACAAACGGGGAACTTCTTGGATGGCCCCTAGCATGCAGAAGCCAGATGGGCAGACTGACAATGCAATTACTGGTATACTTCTCGCAACCATCCAAAGAGGACAATAAACGAGACTAATAGAATCTTTGCAGTGGTCAACCGCACGGATGACCACCATGCAAAAAGAACACATTCATGGTCACCTACTTTGGGATGACAACGAACATATGAATCTTGCATTTTGGGAGACTCTATATTTTTTTACAGTAAACCACATGAATACTTTTGCAGACCTTCAACTGGCTAGTCTGTCGAGCATTATCTCCAGAGAATCCTCGCCAAGAAACCTCAAATTGATATGCCGAATTTGGTGGCGTGATCTTTTCCGCAGCTACAGCCTTGACTCGGGAAGCAGCTCGAGAAGCAAGCTCTTATACCGATGCCTTCACCTCTTGGTTCCTAGTTGTGTTATTTCTCTACAAAATTATCATAATATAGACTAGTTCAAGAGACTAAAAGACACATATGCAAAAGAAATAAAGAAAAGTTTAAAGCAAATAAGAAGATAAAGCCATTGAGTCCAGATAACATGGTAGGAGTACACAACATATAAGTCTGATAAGAAGCTATAAAGACAAAAGCAATTAATAAGGTTCATAAACAAGTCTATCTTACTTATTCACCTGTTACTAAGAAGAAACGAAAACTCAATGACGACAACAAAAAATCAAGTAAAAGGAGCAACAAAACACTTTTCTTAACACCTTAGTGTGATCTTGAACTGCAGTCATTTATGTTATTTGAGCACTGCTGGAGACAGGCTGGATGCTTTGTCCGTTCATTTTGGTATCCACTTTCCCACTTTCTGCATTTCTTGTACAGAATTTTTCCGTGCTCCAGATGTTTTCTGAAGAATCGTTTGGGAATTAACAATTCAAACGAGTCAATTTAATATATAAATGAACTGGTAGATGAACATGATATACACCATCAAACAAAACACAAGAAATGAATGATAGACTCCGAAAAATCAAAACTCGCCTTTCAAAAGCAAGCAGACCTGCATAGCTCGGACCTCTTCACCTTCCGACCCCTTCCTCAAAGCATTTCTGCTCTTCTTCTTCTCCTTCACTTCCGGAACGGCAGACACCTCCTCAATCTCCTCCTGAATATGGTCCAATTCTATGGCACTGGAACTCGACCCTGTCTCCGCTATCAGAATTTTCTCCGTCAAAATCTGCAACAAGCCGGCGATGTGGGGCTAGGCGGGCGCTAGGCGGCTAGGCGGGGGCTAGGCGGCTAGGCGGCTAGGCGGCTGGGCGGGCCTCCTAAGCGGGTTGGGACCTTTTTTGGTGCCGAATCCGGACGACGAAGCAGCAGAAACCGAAGAAAACCAATCGAAGCTTTGAGTTTGATAGAGAAGCGAAATGGCTGCGTCCGCGAGTGTAGGCTTCGTGATAATATTGGTGGAGTATAGCCGTTCGGCTATACGTTTAAAATATTTGAATGTATTTACCCTTTAAATACACATTTTTGTCCTATCATTTTAGGGTCTAGGGCTAAAATACCACTTTAGCCCATTGGGCTAGAGTTATTTCTTCAATTATTTTATTTATACAAGCGATATTGGGGAATGAAAATTTAAATTCTTTCTGATAACTCACATTCTGATGATTTCCAGCTATTAGCCCATTGGGCAAGAATAAAAAAAATGTATTTTATTTGTAACAAATAATACGGGTTAAACCCATAAATACAACAACAAAAAATAAGGATTTGCTAACATTTTGTGGATCAAAGAATGTTGAATCTCATAGTATAAAATTGCTTGTTTGGGAATTTACTTTTTAAAATGTATCTATCGTAATTATGAACTAAACCCAATTACAAACTTTTTTCTCATTGCACTTAGACAAGCATTCTCTTCTGCTATGAGATATATCAGTCCGCCATGTATTCTATGTAGATGAAAAATTGGATACAAAACAGTCTAACAAGACAACGAAGAGAAGTTTGCAGCTCTGTTTTGAAAAAAAGAAGCAGAGATGGGTGAGTTATCTTAGGCCAGGATTAATGTGTGGAAGGTCGGGTTAGGGTTTCCAAAACTGAGAGATTGATGAGTTCGATTTGGATTTCGATTGGTTTGACTCACTACTCCACCGGCGTCGACTTGTGGTCCATCGGATGCATCTTCGGTACTTTTTCTTACTCGCTCTCACGATTTCTTTGATTTCGTTTGATTTAATACTTCAATTAAGAACTAATTAACAATTAATATGAGTGATCATGATGATACTATTTGATTCTTGAATTGCAGACGAGATGGTGAGGAGGAGGCAGGCTCTGCTTCCAGGATCTTCTGTTCCCACAGTTGCTTCACATTTTAAGGTGGTTGTTTTAAGTCAATTTCTGTTTTTCTTTTTCTTTTTCTCTGCTAATACAAATTTAGCTGGTTAAAATCATTTCTAGGTTAAATTTTTATTGTAATTGAGTTGACTGCGCGATTCCACTTTGTTATTTTGATGTTCACATATACTTTTCACACGTTCAGTCTGGAATCTCTCAATCCTAGAAGCATATAACAGTAGCAAAAAAAGATGCCTTTGAAAGATATGGCACTTGCCCTTAGTTATGATGAGCAATTTTAACAGTGATATTGGACAATAAGTTAATTCTCTAGTTTCCTGATCTCTTGTGTTGTGGTCCCATGAAGAAATGTGCCATTTGTAGTATCACGGGGGACCAAAACAATGTCAGGGGTGTAAAAAGATTACCCTTGATATCTGAGTACGAATTCTATGTTTTGCAGCTTCCCGGCTGTGTGGCTAAATAGATTGTGGCAATGGATACAATAAAAAAAAGTTGTATTCAAGCTACCCCAAGGATGATTTAAAAAGAATAGAGAAAGAGGTGAGCTCTAATTTACAAGCTAACTGTCCCTATATTAATATGATGCAAGCCTTTGATTGCTCATTGGTTCTTCGAAATAACTACATTTTCCAGGTTGATGATTTGACCAGAAGGCTTGTCAAGACAGCAGAGGACTTGTGCAAGGCAAAGGAGAAGGAGATCGGTGCAGGGTAAAAGGTGGTATTTTGTCTGTGTTTTTGTATCTCGATTGGCGGAAGGCCCCACCTCCTTCCTGAAGAGCTTTACCTGAATTTGCTTTTGTAAAAGAGTCCTTTAGTTTATCATTATTTAATATGCGAAATTGATGTTTCAAATTATGATAAAGTGAGTTCCTTTAAACGGGTTCAGAGATTTAGCTCCCATACATGTTATTAACAACATAACCTCGTCCCACACTGATTGTTGCTTATATAAATTTTGCTGCTTATTATTTATGTGGGCTCCCGCTACCAATTGTTTCAGCTTATATTGTACATTTATGTTCATACGTTTTGCTGATGATTTCAGCTAAAGGAGCTTGAGATGCCAGGCCCAAAGACAAGATAGGAACCTCTATACGTAGATGATTTCAGTTAGTGGATGAAGACCTAGTTCTCAAAGACAAGATAGGAACCTCTGTAAGTAGATGGTTCCACATACAGCTTTGAATTGAGGCCTTATTTCTTTTCTAAGTTTATTTGATTGAAGAAAATTTCTCATGCTTATTTATATTGGCATTTTGTAATGTATATCATTTTAAAATTTTAGTTGTATTTTTGGAGTCTTCCTAGCATTACTGGAAATCAGGTCAACCTTTGATGGGTTTCATTTAAGCTCATTTCTGCAGGGTAGGATTTCTGCTGAAATTCCTACAGGTAAATTCATGCTGATATTTTTTTTGGTGTTTGACAGCTTAGGAATTTGTATAGCAGACTTGAATCTAATCTCCAAAGCAGTAAGAAGCGTCATGCAGAACTCTTTGAGCAGTGTAATGAGCTAAAGAGGGGGCAAGAGGATTTTGTGAGAGTTTCTAAGCTAAGTAATATCTCTTTCAAAGGCTTGAACTGTTTTCTACTTTGTAAGAATGTTATATGTGGATCTGAATCTCATGCTTCTAAATCAAGAGAATGGGACTCTTAATAACTGTGATTTAATACTGACTTAAGTTTATCTTATGGAGAGGATCATTCCAGCAACATATCCATACAGAATGAAATGAAGCTAATAAAGCTTTATCTTGTATGTTGGTCCATAAGTGCCCTTGTGTACTATTGTTAAAGTGCCCTGGTTTTGTGACCATCTGCTCGAGATTAGGAAATTATAGTTCCTCATGTATTTTTGTTTGAGATGAGTGGTCAGTGGGAAATGAGGAAAAAACAAACACATATTTTACTTCACTTCTTGTATTTGTATGTATATGCTCCCAAGGGGATAGATCAGGAAGAAAACACAGTTTCATATGAAAGCATGCTTATGCAGGTCTTTGAGTATTGCAAAAGGATTTAGATATGCAAAGTCAAAATGGCTGTGATTCATATGTATATATAGTCAGATTGACAGGCTTTATATCGCCCTCATGTTCATTTGGTACAGATAGAAACCATACATGCACCAATGGAGAAATCTAAGTTGCATGACCAGTGAGAGCCACTATATTAATTTTTGTGTAAAATATTCTATATATCTGATTTCCCAATTTTGACCGGGATTGACTTTTAAAGTGACAAAATCTTGACCAGTCAATAGTAATAAGTAGCAGAAGCCATTTAATTAGAGTAATTAATTAGTTTAACCTTGAAAACTAATTGAAAGAGCTAAGATATATATACATATACATACCAATACACCATTGAATCATCAACCAAACTGCCTCCAAATATCATTGAGTTCTTAACTACATACATACCAATGCATCATCAACCAACCAATATCAACTGCTCAACAATGTACTTGCTCACAAACTATTTGACAGTCAATTTGTGAACATAAACTGTCACAAAGATGATAACTACAGATATGACTATCGCAGCTACTATTACAGAGATGGAAGTATAGTAGAGCTTTGACTCGATTTTTGGCAAGCTTGGATAGATGTCAGGAGGTGGCATTTGACAGTAATCTCCATCAAATAATACAGCCCTAGGAAACGCCCAACCGTCCTCCAAAGTAAATGGTGCTCGATCCTTGTAGAAGAGCAACTCTGTCTGTATGTATCCGTCTGGCCCAGATTGCATTAGAATGTCATTGAAGAAGTTAATTCCCCAAAGCACTACAGTATCATCTGTTGAGAGAAAAAAACCAAATTAATAATTTACACATTAATTAATAGTCTTAACTTAGTTATGTTAGTGAAAGGAACTTACTTATTGTCCCATAGAGACTCAGAGATTTGTAGTTGAAGCTGAAACTTCGAGCCATGTCATCGAAGTTGGGGTGTTGGATAACTAAATTCCAATCAGAATAGTTCATTCTGTAATGGAAGTTAGTTATCGTAACTTTTACCCGCCAGTACTCCTTGTAGTTCATCATAATGTGCCAATGAATTCGGATTGGGCACATATGATCACTACATCGAACCAAAGGCTCGAAGCTATTCACGGCATCCCTCCTACAAATTCACAAAAGGCATGTTAAATTAAACTCACAAAAACACTAAATGTTACAACAAATTAAGTGACATAAGTAGTAATGAAACTCACTCTGCACATATTTGTGGGCTGCTTGTATTACTTCGGCAGCCACATGAACAAGTTGGGCACGACACAATGTTGCTATCGTAAAATGCGGAGAGAGAGACGCAACATGTTGGCATTTTACGAGCAATGAATGGTGAAAACGTGCATGTCACGTTCCACGTCACTATGGTACAACAAAAGACAAGCAAAGAGATTAAAAGTAAAATTCATACTACCCTAACACAAACACAAATACAAGGGTTGAATATCGACTTACTGAATGCTTGAGTGACCCTCCTTTTGTCTGCAGTTGGGAACTTCGTGGGTTCCACAATACTTGCGGAGCCGCACGTATAGCCAAGACCAGGTGCTTTCAGAGTGAAGTTTGTAGGAAGTCTCACATCTGTGTCGGTGGTTTCGGATTGACCAACAGTCATAGTGAAAAAACCTACGTCTGGGGCTCCATTCTGCACCCACGACCTAAGGACCCCTCCTTTGCAACAGCTTCTTACTTGCTGGTTGTATGGGGCACCTGGCATTAGGTCAACAAGTGTTGGGGTCTGCTCACAGTTATGAGGGATTGCATCTTTAAAAGATGAGCAATCCCCTCTCTCCGTTGCTTCAGCTCCAAGCATGGACCAAATGACTTCCTTCTTCGGCCAGGTCCATCCAATTGACCATCCAGGAGCTCGAATGTGTCGATAGCGCTGGTAATTATATAGTGCTACGTAGGCCTATTTATTTAAATCCATGTCAAATTTATATGCATCCAATTGAGAAAAACACAATAATAAAATATCCTAAAATAACAGAAATACAGATAACTTGTTTTATTATAAATTAATACAAAATTTTAATTGATTAAAAGAGAACTGAAATGAACTAAACCCCAACCCAGGCCCACAAAAATCTAATCCAACAGAAGGACAACACTGTTTTGGGTGAGCAGATAAAAAACAAAAGAGAACTGAAATGAAGTAAAGCCCAAACCCAGGCCCATAAAAATCTAATCCAACAGAAAACAACACTGTTTTGGGTGAGCGGATAAAAAAAAAGAACTGAAATGAACTAAAGCCCAACCCCAGGCCCACAAAAACTAATCCAACAAAAAAAAACACTGTTTTGGGGGAGCAGATCCGCTGTCCCCAATTGGATGTCATTTCTATGTTTCCTCTCTAGTTGTTTGACACTTGTCCACCCATTAACTCCGAAATTAAACTTTTAATAAATTCTTTGCAAAAAGAGAAACTTTTAATAAAATTTTAAAAAACAAACCACAGCGCCCCCACTTCCCGGACCTTCTCCCTCAGCCCCCAAACCTACCACACCAGCCTCTCTCCGTAACGGCCCCAACTCCATCAAGACCATTCAGCTCTTCCAGAAAATCGTATCCACATACCCATTACTGTTCCCCAATTTGAAACTCATTCAAATCTCCCACAAAATTATAGTTTATAAGAGCAGGGTTTTAGTAAGAGGACTGATTTATGCATTTTTCTGCCTGAATAACAGAAACTCAATTGAAAAACCATCAAAATAGAAATCCAGAAACCCAATTATCTGTGGCTCATTAAACCATTAAAATGACAGATTCCAATCCCAACCCCCCTTAAAAACCTCAATCAATAGTAAGTATATATCACACAGCAAAAACCTAAGGAAAACATTAATAATAGATAAAAACGCTTACTACATAGCCATCAGCAGTCCATGCCATAATATCCCATTTGATGGTGATATTCGCATCCGGGTCCAATGAATCGTATCCCTCTGGAGAACATTAACCATCCATGTGTTAGGAGTTATATTAAGCAGATTAAGCAAGGCTTACACGCAGAAACCCCTGGGTTACGACTTTTAGCTCAAAATTACAGGGGAGGACACTGGGAAAAGTAGAAGACCTGCATCGAACAAGCTGGTGGTGGCTAGGATGAGAAGAAGCAATGCGACTTGCTGGAAGGCCATCTCCTTCTCTCTCTGTCTTGGATGAGAAGAAGCAATGCGACTTGCTGGAGGGCCATCTCCTTCTCTCTCTGTCTCTGTCTCTGTCTCTGTCTCTGTGAAGGAATATATATGAGACTGATGAGTTTGCTCAGGAAGATGAGTCTGATGAGTCCAGCTAGGGGTTTGATATATTTATAGGAAAAGTCATGATTCATTCAGCTTAATTTACAGAGTCAAGATTCATTAGAGCACCGCAGGTTTTTGTTTGGTTGTAATAAAATGGTTTGACAAAATTAGTAATTTGGAATCTTTTAATAAAATGAGAAATTTGGCACCTTTTTGAGTGCTTCAGAATCAGAAATTGCATGTGCTTACGTTAATTACATTACATGCATGCATGCATATATATATCTAGATGGTGATTTCTTCAGTGGAGTTGGCGACAAATCTACTATTGGTTGTGGCCCAAACAAATACGGCAATTGTTTTCCTCATTTAGTCCTCTCCGGCCATCTTTAACGCGTGTATAAGGCCATAGGGGTTTTTGGCCCGAACTCCTTTTGTGGACAGCCCAACTCCAGATGGCGAAATTCTATAACGTTGGACCGCCATATATGGACCTCAGATGAGATCTGTATTTTTAGCCGCACGATTAAACTGAACGGCTTAGATTTAAAGTTTCATTTAAGCTACAAGACACTCAATCAAAGGCATCACGTGCATCTCACTTATGAAAAAAAGTTGAATAAATTTTATTCTCTGTTCTGCCCTTCTGACAACAAACCACCCCGCACGCCAGTGATTTTGGGCCGTTGATGAATAATTCAGGGGCTGCATGTCTGGCCAGGATATCATGACCGTTGCCATTTGAATGGTTTTCCCTTCTTCAGAAATGATAAATGACACAAGGCTTTCCCTCCTTCAGAAACTCCAACAGAGAATAAGACATGAAACAACAGCTTGTGCTTTCATGGCCTAGGGCAGGGATCGAATTGAGAAACTCGTGCTGTTTCTGGGATGTCTTTCTTTTCTATTTCTATTTCTTTTTTCTTGTTTCTTTTCATTTTCTTTTTGCTTGCTGTATTTTATCTCACCATAGAAATATGAGACAAAACCCCACAGAGAAGAGGCTAGAGCCCTTCCTCTCCTCTCTCTCTCACCCCCAATAAGGAAGATAAAATAGGCACAAAACATCATGAGAATCTCACAAGTACATCATTATTAATGATAGGCACAAAACAAAATGGTTTTTTGTTGTTGTTGTTGTGTCTAGTGACACAAATAATTTGGAACTTGAGAATAGAAACAAAAGTGTCTGATATCTGACACAAACCACATGCCATTCTTACAGTCCATGTTATCTCAGTTCTAGTCATTGATACATAATTATATGATTTCTCCTGGAAATGGAAACTCATTTCAAGATTTTCACAAAGCTATTGAAATTGACAATATGCAATACAAAAGTGATGAAGGTGAACAATAGTTTCACTCTGACTTAAAGCGTTAGATGACATTAAAATGCCATCACATCTCAAGGAGGGGTGTTTGTTGACTGATTGATGGCCGTGTTCAAATTCAAAGTTGACGTGCAGGGTTCGAATCGCCATGGAGTTAACTTCCGAACCCCAGGCTCTAATGAATCGAGTTAATCAAATGATTTTCATGGGCTATTGTTGTTCATTTGTTGCCATAATGAATTGGCCCCTACAATACAATAGTTATATATTGTTTTCATTCAAAATCCCCTCTAACCATAAACACACAAAACGATTTTGATGAAATATTCAGCAAAAGCAGGAAGAAGACCAAGGGGAGAGAAGATGGTTGAACGTTTAACCTTAATTTCTTTTTTTTTTTAATTTTCTTTTTTTTAAAATAAAATGGAAAACTTTTTAAGGTAAAGTAAAACTAAACACATAAAAAACAAATTAAGATTAAGAAAACAAGCCTTGTACGGTGAAGCATGCCAAAGACACTATCCTAAAGCCTTTGTAGCTCCCTACGTGCAGGTAGAGGAGGCCCTGAAAGTGTGCAAGTGGTGCCACCACACAAGGCCCCCAATTTTTTTTTTTCACGTATATGTTATATATATTAATATTTTAATTATTATATATATAAATCCCGCATAGGACATTTACAAAAGGACGGGTTTGGCAACATTGTTTTGTTGCACTTTAACTTCTACTTATGGTGTGGGTTCGAGGCTCGCTTATCTCATAACGCTGATTGATTATATAATGAAAGATAACAAGCATTGCATATAGTTCATATATATTTGCTAGTTTATATATATAATATTATATTTGGTTGTGGGGTGATGATTGATTTATATACTTCATATATATATAATTATACTACATACAAGTCTTCATAATCATATAGTTAACAAGCACTAAAAGGAAAACCTAGTCTTTATACTGAACATACTGGTATTTAAGTTTCTGAAATTGAAACGTCAAATTTTTTATAAATCTGATTTGTGATTTGCATGCTAATTGATGATGATTTTTTACTTTAAAAAATAAAAATTGTGTATGCCACGGTGTAAGTTTGTGTTATAGATTATGTGAGTACCACAGTTTAAGTTTCGCACAGGCCCCCGAAAATCTCAATCTTAATTTTTGTTTATAGATAAGAGTAGTTTAGAGCATTATCTATTACTATTAAACCATTACCAAAGTCTCTATTCTCCCCTTTTTAATTTTCAATAATACACACCAAATTCAAGTATTATTCACAAAATATTCACATATTATTGATTTAAAATAAAATATATTTAAATACTAATTATTCACTAAGTAAATAATAATTAAAACATAACTACTAATTAAAGTAATTAAAAAAAAGAAATTCAAATCAGGCTACACACGGCTATACTTTAAAAAAAATTCTATTTATAGAGTATAGTCGCACAACTATACATTTGAAATATCGGCTCTACGTTTGAAATATTCTATTTATATAGTATAGCCGCTGGGCTATACTCTTGTCACAAAAACACCCTCCGAGCACTAGGCGGGTCCTTCTTTTTATTTTTTTATTTTTTTATTTGTAAATAGTATAGCTGCGCGGCTATACACCAAATTATTACTTTTTATATAAAAATGGTATAGCCAAACGGCTTTACTGTAGTCGTTTTTTTTTTAAATTCTTTTGTATATATAATATAGCCGTGGGGCTATACCCATTCATTAGCAATGTGATTTTTTAAACTGAGTACACCCTACTACCAAAGTAGTTATTATATAACTCTTATCGATAAGAGTAGTTTAGAGAATTATCCATTACTATGCCATTACCTGAGTCTCTATTCTCCCTTTTTGAATTTTTACTTTTCCAGAGTTATTACCCGTATAAAGAATTTAGCATTTTCACGTTTAATACTCGTGTTGTACATGTATGTATATATTTTTTTCATGTTTAATACATTTATTTTTAACAAAATTTTCAATAATATACACAAAATTAACGTATTGTTAACATCATATTGATTAAAAATAAAATATATTTAAATATTTAAATACTGATTATTTACTAAATAAATAATAATTAAAACATAACTACTAATTGAAGGCCGCTCGGCTATACTGTTAAAAAAAAATCTATTTATAGAGTATAGCCTAGCGGCTATGCGTTTGAAATATTCTATTTATAGCGTATAGCCGAACGGCTATACTCGTTTCACAAATTTTTTTTTTATAAATAGTATAGCCGCGTAGCTAAACGCCGAATTATTTTCTTATATAAAAGAGTATAGCCGCACGGTGTTACTGGGGTCGGTTTTTTTAAATACTTTTTTAAAAATAGTATAGCCAGGCGGCTATACTCTTTACATACTGTGATCTTTTTTTTATAATTGATTTTCCCAGATTTTTGTTTATTGATAAGAGTAGTTTAGAGCATTATCCATTACTATTAGCCCATTATTCAAGTCTCTATTGTCCCATTTCGAGTTTTTACTTTTCCAGAGTTATTACCCGTATAAAGAATTTAGCATTTTCACGTTTAATACTCATATTGTACACGCACGTATGTATTTTTCATGTATAATGCACTTGTTTTTTACAAATTTTCAATAATACACACAAAATTCAAGTATTATTCACAAAATGCTCACATATTATTGATTAAAAATAAAATATATTTAAATATTTAAATACTAAATATTCACTAAGTAAATAATAATAAAACATAACTACTAATTAAAGTAATTAAAAAAGAGAAATTCATATTATTTTTTATCGATAAGAGTATTTTAGAGCATTATTGATTACTATATAGCAATATGCACGTATAAATATAATGTATTTTACTTTACAAAATACAAGGCACAAAGAACCCATGTTTAAATTTGCCATTCTTTCCTAGAAAGAGGGAAAGAAATATCCCAAAAGTAAACGTAACAACTGCAAAAGAGAGTAGGAAACTAGCACAACAAAACTATGTACCAATTTTGATTACACTGCATGGAAACAGAACATGGAGGAGTTAGCTGTTATAAAAATTATAGTTTTTATTTTTTTCTGTAAAGCCATATGCAAAAATATTTATGTTATAAATAATATATAGAATAAAATAGAAAGCTTTTTAAGGTAAAGTAAAACTAAAGAAACACATAAAAAAATAAATTAAGATTAAGAAAGCAAGCTTGGTATGGTGCTATCCTAAAACCTTTGCCGCCTCCCTACGTGTAGGTAGAGGTGGCCCCGAGAGTGTGCAAGTGGTGCCACCGCACAGGACCCCCAAATTTTTTTAACGTATATTATTATATATAGCCCATGTAGGACATTTACACGAGGACGAGTGTGGGTTCGAGGCCCGCCTGTCTCATCACGTTGATTGATTATATAATGAAAGATAACGAGCACTGCATATAGTTCATATATATTTGATAGTTTATATATATATATACAAGTCTTTATGCTGAACATACTGGTATTTAAGTTTCTTGAATTGAAACGTCAAATTTTTTATAAATTTGATTTGTGATTTGCATGCTGTTCACCCGTTTTAATTTACTTCCTGAGATGACAGGGCAAAGTTCCTCATTAATTCAAAGACCATGTTTTGGTCTGTGAATTAACTTTCTTTATGTGTTGAGCGTGCCACTGTTAGCAATTTTTCAACCCTAACAGACTTATGGTAAAATAACTTGCGCCCCAAGTTATTAACTTTTACCAAACGATTGTGAATTTGGGTGAGGAATATCTCCCAAGTAAGTTCTTTTCTATGCCTTAGACTGGTAAGGACTTTTACAATTTATCTCAGTATAAAAACCGGCAGTTCTGGCCAGAATGAAAGATGACAGATTGAACCAATGCTGGACTGGGTACGCCTGTGCTGGACTGGACTTTTAACAACTTCAACTGTTAGGCTTCAGCTGTAAATCGATACCAAAGCTTGAGTTTGGCAGAGCTTTAATCTATTTCGAACCCTGGAAGGTTTTTGGATGGGCAGAACTGGGACTTCTCCAGTCTGAAAGGGGCAGAAGTGGCTGGACTCAAGCTGCAAGTGGGCTGTAATACCTGTGCTGCTTAGTCAGGGCTCTTCACAAATTTGTTGAGTTTTTCATATTTGAGAAAACTCGAAACTCTGCTTAGCTTGGCTTGTACTAAACCAAATTTGTAACGAGAGAAATCTCGTTATTGTTGACTAGTGAACTGGGATTCAAACCAGAGGTAGCGATTTAAACTTGTCTTTGCTGGGAGAAGACAGGATGATTCTGCAAGCTTGTTGGCAAGCTTTTGAATATTTCAGGCTCGAAAGTCTGTTGGAACTTGTTTAGGATTTTGTGATCAAGTGATCATTTGAGTGTTTGTCTTTTGACTGAGTTTTGGTTGATTGATTGTGCCTTTGCTCTATTCACCCTCTCTTGTATATATAGGAAGTGTTCCTCCGGGAATGGGCGGCAAGTAATCAAAAGATCTTTTAATTTTTAAAATGAAATAAACAGGGGTTCTATCCATTTTCTGGCGAGTAAGCACTCAACGATTAGTTCCTGAGGTGACCACTTCTGTATTTTTGATGGAGTGCCCTGCCTGTTCTTCCATTCCACCTGCTTCTGCAAAAGGTCTGGAGCCTTGGAGATGGCTGGCTCTCAGCTTTTGGACAGTTTCATGTTTCCCGCTTATCTCTCTTTTTATAAAAACAGAGTCTGCTTATCCTCGAAAATGGTATTCCTCCAAAATATCATAATATCTTTTAGATAAACTAAGCGGGTTCTAATCTTCTGGCAGCAAGCTACTTTAGATTTTTTCTTCTTTCATACCTGCTCCTGTTCTATTTCCAGTTTTCAGCCGAAATTATTGACTCCTCCAAGTCAGGGATCACGTGGGGCTGTTCCGTTTGAAGGCCAGCTTGAGTCTAGTTTGCTTTTAAGCCTAACTTTGGATTTCTTCGAGGCCCAAGTTTTTTCTGATTCCTATTGTTCACAAGCCCTTTAATGTTTTGGGCCGTGTTTTGGCCTGTCCACTCATTTAATAGGCTGGGTCGTGCTGATGGGCTTGAGGTCGTCTGATACAAGCGGCCTAGGAGATGGTGTGGGCTTTTGTTTTTGGCGTGCTAAATTTGGGCCCAAACACATGCTAATTGATGATTATTTTTTACTTTAAAAAATAAAATTGTTGTATGCCACAGTGTAAGTTTGTATTAGATTATGTGAGAGCCTTAATTTAAGTTTCGCACAGGGCCCCCAAAATCTTAAGACCGGCCCTGGCAGGTACTAACGGTCTACAATACTCTAAGACACGACCTCCAATACACAGGCTCAAGGTCCGCTATGAGCACGTTCGCAGCCGGATATAGGTCTCCAAGTCATAGAACCATTGCCCAAAAATAATAATCAAAAGTATAGAAAGTATGAAGGTAGAAGAAGAGAAAAACATATTGTGGCGTATCGTATTGTGGTATTTTAGTGGTATCTCAAATGTGAAGGAGGAGTGGCCTTTTATAGGCATCCAAGAAGATGTAACCTCCACTACATTAAACTAGAACATTAAAACATTCAGTATAGAAATAAAACCTGAAAATTAAATATTTATAACCCCACAATAAATAAAATAAAACAACCAAAATAATTAAACAAATCAAAACGGTAAATTTTTTAAAACCTTTTTAAAATTCCAACATTAGCAATATGAAATACTGCTACTCTTTCTTATTAAGAAAACCTGAGAGACAAGGGAGAAAGAGAGAGCTTGTTAATCGATTATAATTTTAACAAATCAAAGCAATTGTTAATGTTTTTGTTGAGATTATCCCACAAAACAACAATATAGTATGCATACATTACCAAGATATTTATAAAAGGGATGAGATGAGGATATCCACAACAAATCGAAACATGCATAACAGATATGAAAAATCCAACAGTTAGAAAATGTGTTGTTCATCCTAGAATCCCAACAATGGGAGAGTTGGAAATGTGCCACGTTTATTGACCAAAACGTACCAACACTCCCCCACTATTGTGTGCGGTGGAAGCGGATTTCACAAGATGACCAAATATGAAACATGTCAATCACCAAAAACAAATATGCAAATATAGAAACCCCAGTAATAAAAAATGTAATTAACTCTATTTTAAATTGAATTAATTTCAATTACATTTTGGTATCTTAGAATTGTACCCTTAACGCATGTTTGTCCATAAAATCATATATTTTTACATTAATAAGTATTGGTCACACTAGCTAGACTGAATCAAATTATTTAAATTGTTTTGTAATGTTAATTTAAAACAATTCGTATCATTTTGACAAATGAAGCAACGTATTAAACAATAAATCTTCACTCTTCCAATGACTGAAAAAAACACAACGAAAAGAAAAATGATTCATATACAGAAATTAATACGTCCATGAGAATGCAATAAATATAATAGAATATTATTACTCGGATCAAAATTGATCTTCTTGTGCATAATTTGGTAATGATTTTCCCACTCCAATTTTATCCACTTACACTCCTTTTTTTAGTTATAAAATGGAGTGTTAGTGAATAAAATTGGAGTGGGGAAATCATCACTCTTTATTTATTCCTTTATTAGTACTACAAGCGGAGAGCTGGAGTGTTTTTGAATTTGAGCAAGTTACAAGCTTATTCTTGATATTGCAGCTAGGAGGATCGCAACCAAAGCACTGGCTACTAGATTCACATTCTAGATGATAGATTTCCGACGACGGGGAAGGGGACGAAACCTTCTTCTCATGTTCAAATTTCCCACTTTTAACTCCATCTCGCAAATCTGAATATATGTATATCCAACAATTAATTTAAAGATCGACAACTATATAGTGTGGACATTACCAAGATATTTATAAAAGGGATGAGATGAGGATATGCTAACCATGTGCCACAACAAGGAGGAGAAGCAAACACACTGTTATGGAGGCTGCCCTTTTATATTCTTTAGGGACTGAAAACAGTGCCTAATGTAGTAATAGGCACTGATTTATAACAGTGTCTTTTACAGCCTTTTAACTCCATCTCGCAAATCTGAATATATGTATATCCAACAATTAATTTAAAGATCGACAACTATATAGTGTGGACATTACCAAGATATTTATAAAAGGGATGAGATGAGGATATGCTAACCATGTGCCACAACAAGGAGGAGAAGCAAACACACTGTTATGGAGGCTGAGGGTAAGCAGTCCCTTTTATATTCTTTAGGGACTGAAAACAGTGCCTAATGTAGTAATAGGCACTGATTTATAACAGTGTCTTTTATAGGGGTCCTCTATTGCTAATATGGCACGGATTGCAAATCTCCGTGACTTATTTTCCCAATGGGTCCCACATTCTGTCCAACCAATACGCGTACATCCATTCTAAATACATCCGTGCCTAATAGAATTAAAAGGTACATAATGCTTATCAGTCTCTAAAAACATAAACCTTTTTTTATATATAAAAATATCTGATTGTCCCATAGCGATTTTGTTGTTTTAATATGTTTTTTCTTGGGTCAAAGTTGTTTCAATATGTTGAAACATCGGTTCTTTAAACCATTCATCGGTTTTCTCTTTCCCGTTCGGTTTGCAAACTATCACTCTTGTAAACCTTGTACTATGTCAAGCTTAGAGAACCTCCTCCCCAAGAAGAATTTTTTCCGACCATGGATTATGGAGATACACCGGAAGAGTCTTTACATGTTGAACTGAAGGAGAGAGCTCATCTTCTTGAAAAGCAATAAATATCTAGATTTAGGACTAAAAATTGACCATTTTAAAAAAAGAAAAGAAAATTAGTGTTGAAAAAGGAGTAAAAATTCACCTCTGCCCCCGAGAGCATTAAGCCTATTAACCGCATCTGCATTACCATAAACATAAACACAAATAAATCCTCAAAATTCAGAAACACAAATACCCACTAAAAAATACAAAGAAATTTATGATTTTGACAGAGAGTGAATTCATTGGTGAACAAGAGAAATTTCATTAAATTACCTTTCAAAAAGATTCAATATGCCATCAACAACAACAAGAACTTGTCCCATACGTTTTATTTCTACAACCAGTCAAACAAAAACCATGAGTCGCTAAGCAAAACTCATTCAAATGAAAGATTTGTAAGAGACATAACACAGATCTAGCCCAAACCGGACAATGGGTTAGATTTACAAACACAATACCAAGAATTAAATTTAAAACTAGACCAAGAAATCCAGACAAATATAAGAGAGAGAGAGAGAGAGAGAGAGAGAGAGTAAGCAGAGAGAGGTAGGACTCTTGGGATGAGAAAAAGGAGGAAAATCATTTTGGTATACGTATAATTTCACTTAGTTGGTATAATGAGTCTTTTATTTATATATTTTTAAAAGTTTAATTAAGTATTTGTGTTGATTCGTGCCCACTACTGGAAATGGTGGACAACTTAGGCACTGATTAATTTGTCAGTGCCTTATTTTCTAATATATATCTGACATGAAAGTATTATATATAATTTCTTTAATACTGATGGCACGGATTTCCGAGTTTTTAAATTTATTAGTCATGGAAAATTATTGAATCAGTCCCTTTTATCATTTTATAGAGACTATTTCTATTAGGGAGCATTTTTGCTCACCACCCTTGACTAGAGGTGTACCCTCACCACTACCTCCAAAGGGTGACACGTGTCCTATCATTAACCTTAGTTAACTTTTATGTGGAAATCTGAAAAAACAAATCAATAAGGGGCCCACAGCCTTCTCTCCCCTTCCTTCTTTTTTCTTTTTTTTTCTTTCAGCCTCTCACGACCAAGTCTCTCTTCCTTCCTCCTTTTCCCCTTTTTTTTTATTCTTTTCTTTCTTTCAGCCTCTTCCGACCCATTCTCTCTTCCTCATTCTGTATCTCTCCCTCTACCGACGCCGTACCCGATCCCAAACCATCCCTTCGACTCCACCGTCTCGCTACGGAAGCTCAGGCGCTTCAACTACCTCATCCTCGTCTTCCGAATCGCCTCCTTTAGCTTCTCTCTCGCTTCCTTCATCTTCATGCTCTCCACTTCTCGCGGCCCCAACTCCCCTCACCATTAGTTTTCCGT